TCTCTTTACTAATGTTAATCTCCCTAAGTTGCTCGCTAACATTGTCTTCTTGGTCCTCTATTTTTGGTATGTTTCCAGTGTCTTCTACGGTGAAGACTGTAGAAAAATACTTGTTTAATGACTCTGCCATGTCTTTGTCCCCTATTATAATTCCTCCGGTCTCTGCCTGTAATGGACCCACATTCACCCTCGCTAGCCTTTTCCTCTTTATATATTTGTAAAAACTCTTGGAGTCTGTTTTTATGTTCTTTGCTAGTTTGCCCTCGTAATCTATTTTCTCCCTCTTGATCAATTTTTTGGTCCTCCTCTGTTGTTCCCTAAAGTTCTCCCAATCCTCGGGTTTACTACTCATCTTCGCTGTTTTATAGGCTTTTTCTTTTGATTTGATACTTTCCCTAACTGCTCTAGTTAGCCATGGCTGCACCACCTTTCCCATGGCATTCTTATTCCTCAAAGGAATATGTGCTCGTTGGGAATTTTGCACTATCTCCTTGAATGTCTGCCATTGCTGGTCTACCGTCAAATCTTTAAGTTTAGTCTCCCAGTTTATTCTGGCTAAATCCTCTCTCATACCAGCAAAGTTGGCTCGATTTAAATTGAAGACTTTTGCTTCAGACTTAACTACTTCCCTCTCTAACTTAACGCTAAATTCCATCATATTATGATCGCTTTGCCCGAGAGGAGCCTTAAGTTCCAGTTTGCTGATCAGCCCTGTTTCATTACACAAAACAAGGTCTAATATGGCTTGTTCCCTGGTCGGCTCCTCAGCATATTGATCTAGAAAATTATCTCTAATACATTCTATAAACTCCTCTTCTATGTTACCTTTCCCAATTTGGTTGTCCCAGTCTATGTGCAGGTTAAAATCACCCACAATTAGTGTCTTTCCTTTGCTACATGCTCCACTAATCTCTTGATTTATACCTTGAGCGATACTTTGACCACTGTTTGGGGGTCTATAAACTACTCCCACTATAGTTTTCTGCCCCTTGAAGTTACGTATCTCTACCCATACTGACTCTACATCTTGCTTTTCAGATTTAAAATCTTTCCTCTCTACTGTTTTTATCCCATCCTTTATTAGCAGGGCCACTCCCCCTCCTCGTTTACCACATCGCCTATCTTTCCTATATACCACGTAGCCGGGAATATTCAGTTCCCATCCCTGGTCTCGGTGATGGCTACTAGATCATACTGGTTTGTCTCTATTTGTGCAACTAATTCATCTATCTTGTTACGAATGCTTCGTGCATTCAAATATAGTGCCCTTAATTCTGACTTCCGGCTATTAACCCTATTCACCAGCACTCAATCACTGTACTTCCTTTCCCTGCTTGACACACTTTGCTCTTCTCCCTTGTTAATCTGCTCTCTTGCTTTTGTTGATCTCAAGTTTAACTGTTTTTACCTTTCCCCCCCCCACCCCTTAGCAGTTTAAAGCTCTTTTTACCTCCCTATTTATTTGCGTAGCCAGGACATTTGTCTCAGCCCTATTTTAGGTGGAGCCCATTCCTTTGGAAAAGCTCCCATCTTCCCCAATACTCGTGCCAGTGGCCCATGAATTGGAATTCCTGCTCTCCGCACCACTCTTTTAGCCAGGCATTCAGATCTATGATCTTCTTTTGCCTGTACCAATTAGCTCCTGGCTCAGGTAACAGTCCCGATATCATCACTTTGGAAGTTCTATTCCTTAGTTTAATTCCCAATTCCCGGAACTCGCTCCTTAACTCGTCCCTACTGGTCCTACCAATGTCATTGGTCCCTATATGTACCATTACGATTGGATCCTCTCCCTCATGCCTCAAATTTATCTCCAGCCCGGCGGTGACATCCTTCACCCTGGCCCCAGGAAGACAACAGAGTCTTCTTGTCTCCCTGCTACGGCTACAGAAAACTGTATCAGTCCTCCCGACTGTCTCATCCCCAATAAGAATTACATTTTTAACCTCCTGCACAGGGGTGTTGGGGTCAGTTTGCCCGTCTTCCTCGCAGATTTCCTTGTCCACACAGGTTGCCAATATTTCATACCTGTCAGACAAGGCTAAAGTCTGGGATTCTTCAGCCCCTCTCTTTCGGGAACGCTTGCCTGCCCGCCTGACTGTCACCTAGTCATGTCCGTCGCTGCTACATTCTTCTTCCTTGGTGACTCAGGAGAGTGTCCAGCTCTAGGATAAAGCTGTCCAGGAAGTTTTCTCCATCCCTAATGCTGAGCAGCATCTCCACCTGAGACTCCAGCTCAGCTACTCTCAGCTGGAGCTCTCTGATTTCCAGACAGTTGCAGCAGACAAAGTCACCCGGACTTAAGGCACCCTCCATTGACTCCCACATGTGACAGACCTCGCAGTTTACCTGCCACACCATCTTCACAAATTTTATATAGATACAAATATATATAACCTGCCCCCACTTCCCCCTCTGCACCTAATTCCCATTCTCACCAAATTCCCTCACTCTCTGGCCTCGCCTCACTCTGGACATAGCTCACTCTCGGCTCGAGTAAGGCTCTCGCAGCTATCTCCTACTTATACTTTCTGGATGCAACCCGTTTCTGATTTGCTCAGCAGTGATTTGGAATTAATGCCTAATCAAGTGATTAATTAATAAGTTAATTTAATCAATAATTTACTTGTTATTGGCTTGGCTTAATTGGCTACAGCTGCTCCCTGTAAAGTTACCCCACAAGACCAATGTACCAATAGTATCAGCAATTTTAAATAACACAAGACTTAAAACAACTACAACAACTACTACAAGACTTGAATAACAACAACAACAATTTGGGTTATGTACTCATGATAGCAGTTTTCACGACACTCACAGCAGCAATTCCCACTCTCACCAAATTCCCTCACACTCTGGCCTCGCCTCACTCCGGACGTAGCTCACTCTGGGCTCTCGGCTCAATTCCGGAAATTCCGGAAAGAAAAAATCTTTGCTTTACAGAGTGTTATCGAAACATCTTTAAAGCTCGTCACTGGCATTACCCTAACAAAAACTGGATTTTTTATTTATGTACTACTGCTACTAATAATAATCCTTGGGTTTGACATAGCACCTTATCACGCTTATCACGTCTTAGAGACGTCTCAAAGCGCTTCACAGAACATACTGAAAAATTGATTGACTGTGCATTTTGTGGATAAAAAGCGACAGCCAATTGTGGACAGCAGCATCCCACAAACAGTCGTGGATTAGAATCATAGAATATTATTTTTATTACAGCACAGAAGGAGGCCATTCGGCCCATTGTGTGGTGAGCCCTGTAGTTCAGTGGTTAGCGCACTCACCTCACAAGCGAGAGACCTGGGTTCGATTCCTGGAAGGGCGAAATATTGTGCAAGTTTCTTTACCCCAGACGTCTTGTTTACCTAGCGGATAAGTAGGAACCTTTATATTAGCCACTTGGTGGATCACTTTTCTGGGGATAATAATTCCTTCAAAAAAAATTGGTCACCAATCCACAACTGATTGTGCGCAATTGACTGCCACGTTTCGCCCACAAAATATACAGTCAACTCACTTTACAGTATATTCTGTGAAGCGCTTTGAGACGTCTCGAAGACGCGATAAGGCACTATATTAAATGTAAGGATTATTATTATTATTGTGTCTGTGCCAGCTCTTTGGAGGAGCTACCCAATCAGTCCTACTCCCCCGTTCTTTCCCCATATACTTGAAAATTTTTCCAATTCCCTTTTGAAAGTTGTTATTGCATCCATCCTTTCAGGCAGTGCATTCCAGACCATAACAATTTGCTGTGTAACAAAATTCTCCTCATCTCCTCCCTGGTTTTTTTGCCAATTATCTTGAATCCATGTCCTCTGGTTACCAACCCACCTACCAGTGGAAACAGTTTCTCCAAATCTACTCTATCAAAAAAAAGACCATAATTTTGAACAACTCTGTTAAATCTCTCATTAACCTTCTCTATCGAGGGAAAACAATCCCAGCTTCTTTAGTCTCTCCATATAACTAAAGTCCCTCATCCCTGATACCATTCTGGTAAATCTCTGCATCCTCTCCAAGGCCTTGTGGAGTCCTGTAGCTCAGTGGTTAGAGCACTCGCTTTGCACGTGAGAGACCTGAGTTCAATTCCAGGCAGAGGGCGAAACCTTGGGCAAGTTTCCTTACTCCACACAGAGCCTAATAATAATCCCTCCAAAAACCAAAAACAATAATTAAATTGGTCATTTTCAATCTACGACTGTTTGTGGGACATTGCTGTGCGCAATTGGCTGCCGCGTTCACCCACAAATATACAGTCAATTCACTTTACAGTATATTCTGTGAAGCGCTTTGGGACGTCCTCCCAACGTGAAAAGCGCTATATTAAATGCAAGGATTATTATTATTATTATCCTTCCTATAGTGTAGTGGTCAGAATTGGACACAATATTGCAGCTGAGGCCTAACCAGTGACTTATCAAGGTTTAGCAGAAGTTCCTTCCTTTTGTGCTCCATACCTATGTTTATAAAGCCAAGGATACTATTTTTAACAGCTTAATCAACCTGTCTTGCCACATTCAAAGATCTGTGTACGTGAATCAAAGACCTCTGTGTATATGTTGTGGGTTGAGTATCCAAACAATTTTTTTTAGGGATTTTACTTCCTGAAAAACAATCTGCCAATTGACTAACAACCAGATTGCTATTAAATTCTAGGTAAACAGAGATGTGGAGTATGGAAACTTGACAAACACTAAAGGTTTAGTTGGACTGTGACTAATTATTTCACCCACAAACTTCTGACTATTGAGGTGGGACTCCTACCAACAAAGATAATTTGGCATCAGAGTGAAACAACCGAGGTTTCCTCCACACTACTGATAACATACATTGTCTTATCTGACAGCTTTTCGATTGACCTTTAGATTATGTGCGGGTTGAGCACACCTAATAAATTGCTCCATCTTTTGCTCACAGTAATTAACAGTATTGTTTCCTGGTCCCTTTGACTATAAAACCTCCCAGAGGTTGTCCAGATGTGATATTCTGGTAAATCTGCTTCCCAAGTGCAAATCGCAGTCGTCAGAGACAGAGTAAGTTCATTGTGCCTTTGTGGCTTGTACCATTTGCTTATGCCAGTGCTCCAAGATGCCAATCTGCGCGAGTTGTCCCTGTTGTTTTTCATCATTAATGGAGCGCTGTAGCTTAATAATAATAATAATAATCTTTGCATTTAATATAATGCTTTTCATGTCTTCGAGACGTCTCAAAGCGCTTCACAGAATTTACTGGAAAGTGAATTGACTGTGTATTTGTGGGCGAAACGCGGTAGCCAATTGTGCACAACAAAGTCCCACAAACAGTCGTGAATTGAAGTGACCAATTTATCATTGTTTTTTTTTTGAGGGATTATATTCCCCAGAAGTGCGATCCACCAATTGACTAACAACCAGATTCCTACTTACTTAGCAGAGGCATGAGGAGTAAGGAAACTTTGCTGAGAATCAAACCCAGGTCTCTCGCTCTTTAGGCGAGTGCTCTAACCACTGAGCTACAGGACTCCAGGATAGTGGTTAGCACGCTCGCCTCGCAAGCGAGAGGACCCGGGTTCGATTCCCAGACAGGGCAAAACCTTAAGCAAGTTTCCTAATTCCACACCCCTCCAGCGGTAACAATTCCTCCAAAAAAAATTGTAGTTGCTCACTGCACGACTGTTTACGGGACACTGCTGTACACAATTGGCTGCCGCATTTCGCCCACAAAATACACAGTCACTCCACTTTACAGCATATTCCATGAAGTGCTTTAAGACATCTCAATGATGTGATTAGGTGCTGTATCAAATGCAAGGATAAGTATTGTTATTATGGTCTGGTTGTCCTTTCAGAATATTTGAAGCAGAAATGAATGGAAACGAGAATCACGGCTTTGAACACTCGGCAGCGGAAAGGATGTCACCTCCTCAGACACAGAAGGAAAAGGGCTATGGACAGGTAGTTCATGTCTGGGAGCTCATTATTTGATAGATAAACGACTGAGATCATATTTTGCTCATAGTAATCGTAATAATAATGATGTCCTGATTATCAATAATAACGTCCTGATTATCAATAATAACATCCTGATTATCAATAATAATGTCCTGTATCAATAATACTTAGGCTTATTATCAAGGATAATATTGCTATCAGACTCTGCCACTGATAAGCACTCCATACCTGGCATGAAGGGCGCTATATAAATGCAAGTTGTTGTTGTTATTAATAATACTGTTAACAAGATTATTGGCAAAAGAACCAGAGGGCAAATGAGGAGAAATGTTTTTACGCAGCAATGATCTGGAATGAACTGCCTGAAAGGGTGGTGTGGAATCAGATTCAATACCAACTTTTGAAAGGGAATTGGATATGTTTTTTGAAAAGGAAAAACATGCAGAGGTATGGGTTAAGAGTGGGGGTATGGGAATAGTTGGATAGCTCTTTCAAAGAGTTGAATAGTCATAAATGGGCCAAATAGCCTAAATAATTATTATTATTATCATTAAATAATAATATTATTAGTAGTATTAATACTAACTAAATAATAACAATATAATTATTATTATAGCCTCCTTCTGTGCTGTAAGATTCTATGAACAATAACAATATTGTTATCAATAATATCATCGCCTTTCAACCATCTTGTATTGTATTTTGTATTGTAATTTTGTTATGCCCGAAAGCATTAAATGTCTCAAGGCAAGTGCTTCTTCATAGGGACTCACTATCACGTATAGTGACTGTGTGTGAACTTGTGGCCAAACACAGAGAGCATTTGAAGCTGGGTAAACGCCACATAGACACGAGCGTTTTTACAAACGGCGTATCAAATGTCAGGAATAATGTTATAATTACACAGCTTACTCAAGCGAGAGGTTTGATTCCCTTAGGCAAGTTCCCTTACTCCATACGCCTCTGTTCACCTAGCAGTAAGTAGGAACCTAGTTGTTAATCGATTGGCGGATCACTTTTCTGAGGGTAATAATTCCTTGAAAAAAAGAAAATATTGGTCACTCAATCCATGGCTGTTTGTGGGACACTGTGCGCAATTGGCTGCCGTGTTTATCCCTCACAATATACAGTAAATTCACTTTACAGTATATTCTGTGAAGCGCTTTGATAAATCTCAACAGTGTGATAATCCATTATATTGAATGGAAGGATTATTATTACAATTATTATGTTGTTAGGGTATAAATCACTCTGTAGAGAAAGTTTCTAAGCAGTTGTCAGTGAAGAGTCAGCCCGAGCAAAATACTGCCACGTTCCATAGGAATGTATGTTACTTTTCTTAATATGTTTGAACCTCCTAAAATAGCAACTTTTTGTAGGAGGCTGATCTTGTTATAATTACTATTTACAATTATTATAATTTTAACATCATTTCACCCAATTCACTTTACAGTATATTCTGTAAAGCGCTTTGAGACGTCTCATTGGTGTGATAAGGCGCTATATCAAATGCAGGATTATTATTATTAATATTTTGTTATTAATAATGTGAGAATAACAATATTAACTCCATTATTAATAATTAATTATTATTATTAATACAACAACTAGCATTTATGTAGCACCCCTCACTAGTTAGTGTCACAGAGCAGTTAAATCACTCTGGTAATAATTAGAGTAATACTTAATAATTCTTAATATTAATAATTCATGAATAATCTTACGAACGCTGAGAGTGGTCAGCGAGTGCCAGCGCTTTGGGATGTCCTCCTGACGTGAAAGGCGGTATACAAACGTAATTTGTTGTTGTTGTTGTTGTTGTTGTTGTTGCTATCGGCCCAATAACTGCCCTAATGCATGCTCACTCTCTCCGGATCAGGTGGAGAAAAAGCCCATTTCGCTGCTGAAGATTTTCCTGCTGTGTCTCCTGGCGAGCGTTATCACCACCGCGGTGGGAGTTCTGATTCTGGCTCTCGTGTACGTCACCGAGTATCGCCCTCAGTCCTCCTCGCAGCCCCAGATCGAGATCGAGAGCCCCACGGATAGCAGGGTGGACATCAAATACAGCTTCCTGAATCACTTGGACAAATCAAAGGTATCGTGTGCTGTGATTGCCTACAAAATAGATGGAGTCCCATAGCGTAGTGGTTTGAGCGCCCGCCTCACAAACCAGAGGACCCGGGTTTGATTCCCGGGCAAGGTCAAACCTCAGCCAAGTTTCCTTACTCTACACGCCTCTGTTTATCCAGCAGTAGGTAGGAATCCAATTGCTAGTCGATTGGTGGATTGCTTTCCAAGGGTAATAATCCCTTCCAAAAATATAATTTGGTCGCTCAACTCCACGTCTGTTTGTGGCACACTACTGTGCGCAATTTGCTGCCACATTTCGCCCACAGAATACAAGTCAATTCACTTCAAGGAATATTCTGTGAAGCGCTTTGAGACATCTTGATAACGTGATCAGGTGCTATATCGAATGCTAGGATTATTACTGTTGATATTATTGAGATCAGTGGTTTGAGATCAGAGGTGTTGTGGCTTGGGACAGCCTACAGACATGTAATTTGTTGCTTCTATAAAAAAAAGTAATTGTTTTTATTATGAAATACACAGCTACTATACTTTAATGTAAATCCTTTGAAATGCTTCAACATCTCAATGACGTGCTAAGGCGCTATGTTAATTGCAATCAGTTTTTGGCTCTGCTCCTCTGTGACTGGTATAATCTGTGTCCCGTGGCCCAGGTTTTCGAGTTGCCCGGTGGAGCCATTCAGTGGGCACGTTACCGCAAAGACACGAGCGCATACGAGGATGAGATATCGATGCAGTTTGGGCGAAGCATCAATGAAAGACGGTCTAAAATGACCATCGGCACCCTGCGTATCAAAAGCAATGGTCTCCGGCTCCCACACTGGCATTTTAATGCCAATGAACATGGATACTTGCAACAGGTAAGTCAAATGAAACTGTAAGTCAAATGAAATGGCAACGTCTGTAGCGTATTGTTGGAGCACTCGCCTCGCGAGGCGAGAGGACCTGGGTTTGATTCCAGGCAGAGGGCGAAACCTTGGGCAAGTTTCCTTACTCCACACACCTCTGTTTACCTCGCAGTGAGTAGGAACTCAGTTGTTAATCGATTGGCGGATTGCTAATCAGGAGTTATAACCCCTTCAAAGTAATAATAATGATTCGGTCAGTCAAAACACGATTAAGTGAGTCACTGCTGTTGCACGTATGGCTGCCCATAAAATATACAGTCAATCCGCTTTACAGTATATTGTTTTGAGACGTCTCGATAAGGTTGTATGTCAACTGCAAGGATTAGTATTATATTACTATAATTACTGTAAAAAGCTTTGCAACGTCTTAGGCTCCTTATCAAATGCAATGATTGCTATTGTCAGCCTTCCCAACTCCTCCCTCCACAGGCTGCAGATAATCCAGAACTCTGCAGCCCGTTTCCTCTCCCGCACCAAACTCCGTGACCTCATCTCTCCCACTCTCGCCCGACTCCAATGGCTCCCTATCCTTCAGAGGATCCAGTTCAAGATCCTGGTCCTCACATACAAAGCCCTCCATGGCCTCACCCCATCCTACCTCTGCGACTCCCTAAACCCCTTACGGACACGCCAGTTCCCTCCACTCAGCCGGCTCTGACCTACTCTACGTCCCCCAATCCACCCGCCCCACCATTAGTGGGAGAGCCTTCAGCCACTCTGCCCCCAACTTCTGGAATTCCATCCCCAAATCACTCCCCTCGCCCCCTCCTTAGCTTCCTACAAGTCCTGCCTCAAGACCCTCCTCTTTGACCATGCCATCGGTCAACCCCCCTTCTCCTCCCCTCCTTTCTGCCCCCCTGACCCCAGCTCGGGTCTGAAATGCTGTACTCTGGGACGTCCCAACGCGAAAGGCGCTATATAAATGTAATCTTGTTGTTGTTGTGTTTCCCCCTTAATGAGGTAGGGTCCGTGTCCATTCTAAAGATTTTTTTGGTCAGCCGGGTGTCTGACACATGTGGAAGCCTATCACCGTAGCTTAAGAGAATCCAAACCAAGCTGAGAATTCCCTGCATCCCACCTACATGTGGAAATCCCAGAGATAGATTGTCGGAATGGAATGCGCTCTCTCCTCCTGGAGGGACACATCCTGCTTACCTAATTCTGGAAAGTATTAGGCCCAGGTTGGCAAGAGCCAAGGTTTGGGGACCCCAGAGTGTACCCCTGGAGTCTGACCAGATAAAACCACATAGCTTGCCGTTGATAGCGCTGCCTGACAAGATTTCCCACTGCTTCTCCAGCTCGGACCTCCATACCTGTTAGGGCTTTGGCTTGCAAGGTTATCAGGAGCTGAGTGGGATAACTCCTTGCCCCATTCTAATGACCTAGTTTTTATTGCTGTAGGGCAAGGCATGGATTGGTGTGGTGGATGATGGGACTAACATAGTGGCGACGTACAACATCACAGCCGGGCAGCTCTTTTTCTTCCCGAAGAACACTCTTCACTGGGTGAAGAACGTGGGTGACGAGGACTGTGTCTTTGTCCTCTTCTTCACGACCCATGAACAACTGCTGACCTTAGACATCGATGACACATTTTTCTCCACACCTGAGGACATCGCCTCCAGATCATTGAAGGTAACCAGTGGGGGGGGAGAGAAGGCGGGGGTGGGGGTGGGTGGTTGAGGACAAAACACTGGTCCTGTATTGCCGGCCGTCTGATGAGATATAAAACTGAACATCCCATATCTGCTTGTTCAGGTGTATGTTAGAGATCCCATGACATTACCTGAAAAGAGAAAGGAACTTCTCCTGGTGTCCTGGCCAACAATCCCACAGATAATAAAAAAAAATTGGTCACTTGCTCCCTGGCTGTTTACGGGAAGTTGCAATGTGCAAATTGGGTTAAATATTAATAATAATAATCCTTGCATCCTTGCATAGCGCCTTATCACGTGTGGCCTTACAAAACACACGGTCATTACAGTTCACAGTAAACTCCTGTGGAGCGCTTTCAGATGGCCTCCCAATACGAAAAGCACTGTGTCCAAAGAAAGATTTCTTTACACTTCGCTCAGTAGAAAATCACATGGTAAGACGTTACTAGGCGCAGGGTTGTTTAATCTCATCTTTCCTGCACAGCCGGAAGGAGGAGTCAAGTTCATTAGGAGCTTCTCCAAACAAAAGGAGGACCAAGGGATCAATCTCCCAGCCAACCTGAAGGACCTCGTGACCAACGCCAGTTACGTACAGTCGCCGGACACCATCGTGTGGAAATACTTTTACGACCTTCCAGGTAATGGCTTACTTTCAGGATCGTTTCTGAAGATCTTCCTCAGACCCCAACGCTGTTAAGCAGCCAGTAACACTGCCCAGCATGAAGGATGCTGAAAATGCAAGTTGCTGAGATACTGAGAGCTTAGATGTGAGCCCACATGAAGATACCTTAGCGTAGTGGTTAGAGTGCTCGCCTTACAAGTGAGAGGATCCGGGATCGATTCCCGAGTCAAGGCGAAACCTTAAGTAAGTTTCCTTACTCCGCACGCCTCTGTTTACCGAGCAGTAAGTGGGAACCCGGTTAATAGTCAATAGGCAGATCACTTTCTGGGGAAATAATAAATTCATGATAATAATTTGGTCATTCGCTCCATTGCTGTTTGTGGAACATTACTGTCGCACATCAGTTGTCTCTATCTCTCACACAAGCAATCCCTCCCCCTCTCTCTCTCTCTTTGTCTGTGTCTCATACAGTCTTTCTATCTCTCTGTCTCTCAGACTTTCTCACAACCTCTCTCTCACTCACACATAGTCTCTCTCTTTCTCTCTCTCTCTCTCTCACACATATGGTCACTCTGTGTGTCTCACTCTCTCTCACGTTCTCTCTCTCTCTCTCTCTCTCCCTCTCTCTGGTATTCGCAGGCTCCACACAGTTTGTGTATCCCGGTGGGATTATCCAGTGGGCGAGATACCGGAGCTCGCCCACAAACCTGACAGAGAACGAGAAGATTTACGGTGAATCCGTACACGAGGTACCTTCCCTCAGGGTCCCCACCCTCACCTATACCCCCCACCGCAGCCCCCAGCGCCGGCCTCATCTCTCCCATCTTCTCCTGCCTCACTCCCTTGCGTCAATGGCAAGTTTTGCGGTCCGAGTTGGTGAGACTCCAGCAGTTACCCCAACACACACCCTGGGCTCCCCCCAAGCCTTGGCTCTTGCCAACCTGTGCCTAATACTCTCCGGAATTAGGTAAGCAGGATGCCTCCCCCCCCCAGGAGAGAGAGAGAGAGAGAGAGAGAGCGCATTTCATTCCAACAATCTATCTCTGGGATTTCCATGTGTAGGTGGGATGCAGGGAATTCTCAGTTGGGTTTGGATGCTCTTAAGCAACGGTGATGGGTTTGTGTCAGTCACCCGGCTGACCAAAAAAAACTCCCCTTCTCTTACACCAGCCCCCCCCCCCCCACCCCAGCTCAGGTGGCCAGCCAGCTATATCATAGACGTGTTCCTGCTTCATGTCCCCCACCCTGCCCACCCCAACCATTGGTGGTCAGTCCTTCAGATTTTCTGCCCCAGCCCTCTGGAACTCCATCGCACGCTTGCCCCCTCCCTTGGCTCTTTCAAGGTCTATCTCAAGACTTTCTTCTTTGATCGTGCTTTTTCTGCCACCTTCGAACCCCACCCCCTACCGCCAACCCTATTGATTCCAACCCCCAATTTGGGTGCAAGTCTCTAACTGTCCAGCGCCTTGGGACGTCCTTACGACATGAACAGCAAGCACAACAAATTATGTTTGTGTAGTGCCTTTCAAGTCGGGAGGACCTCCCAAGGTGCTGGACAGCTAAGGATGTGCACCCGAGCTTGGGGTTGGGGTAGAAGTAATTTTGCTGTTATTAAATAATAATAATTTGGTCCCTCAATCCCCGACTGTTTGTGGGACGCTGCTGTGCGCAATTGGCTTCCGCGTTTCGCCCACAAACACACAATCAATTCACTTTACAGTATATTCTGTGAAGCGCTTTGAGACGTCTCAGTGATGTGATCAGGCGCTGTATCACATACAAGGATTATTATTGTTGCTGTTGTTGTTTGCCATTGGGGATTTGCTTGTGCTTGAGTTGGTGACCAAACCCCGACCTTCTCTCCACAGCACGCAGACACCCTGACAATGGGCACGCTACGGATTTACAGCAACGGCCTGCGGCAGCCGCACTTCCACTTCAACGCTAACGAGATGGGCTACGTGGTCAGTGGCTGTGGACAGGTAACTCTCCACATTTCCGGACACTATTCCCATTATTCCCAATCAACTCCGACAATCATGAACTCTCCGACGTCCCCAGTCGCTCTCTGGCATCTAAGCAATTCTTTTTGGGTCGGCCGGGTGTCTGACACACGCGGAAACCCAGCACTGTGTTTAAGGGTCTTCAAACCAAACATCCCACCTACACATGGAAATCCCAGAGATACATTGCTGGAATACAATGCCCTCTTTCTTCCTGGAGGGACTCATTCTGCTTATCCAATTCCGGAAAGTGTTAGGCGCAGGTTGGCAAAAGCCAAGGATTGGGGACCCCAGAGTGTGGGTTGCGGTAACTGCTGGAGTCTAACCAGCTAAAACCGTATGTCTTGCCATTGATCTGGGGAGATTGGAGTCCTGTAGCTTAGTGGTTAGAGTACTCGCCTCGCAAACGAGAGGAACTGGGTTCGATTCCCGGCAGGGCGAAATGTTGGGCAAGTAAAACCCAATACTAATAATAATTTGGTCACTCAATCTAAGACCGTTTGTGGGATGCTGCTGTGCACAATTGGCTACCTTCAACCGTGCCTTCAACCGTTTCTCTTCAACCGTGCCTTCAGCTCCCCTCTCGACTCTCTAACCCCTCCTCGCTCCCTCCCTTCCCTCCCCTCACCCTGACCATTTCCCCCCTGCTCGGGTCCTGACCCAACTGTCCAGCACCTTGGGACGTCCTCCCGACATGAAAGGCGCTCTATAAATGAAATCTTGTTGTTGTAGTTGTAGTTGTACCGCATTTCGCCCACAAAATACAGTCGATTCACTTTACAGTATATCCCGTGAAGCGCTTTGAGGCTTCTCGAAGAAGTGATAAGGCGCTTGTATCAAAAACAACGATTATTATGATTATTATTGTTGGCCAGGACACCGGGGGATACTCAGTCTTTCTGGTTACACTCAGAACCTTCCCAAACCCCCCACAGTGCAAGTGAGGTCAGGGTTAGACCATTTCTGCACCTCACTCCACTCACCTTCGAGAAACCACTCTGCCTTCTCACCGATGCTATAAAGCCCTCCTGTAGTATGGCCACCATAACTACACGCACTACTCTAACTATTGTTTAATCAATATTCTAACATCAATTTGGCATAATAATAATCGTTTAATATAGCGCCTTATCACGTCGTCAAGATGACTCAAAGCGCTTTACAGGATACATTGTAAAGTAAATTGACTGTATATTTTGCGAGCCAAATTCATCAGCCAGTTTGCACACAGCAGTGTCCCACAAACACTCATGGAGTGAGTGACCAAATTTTGTTTGGGGGAATTATTGGGCAAGACATTGGGAGAAAGAAACCTTGGGCAAACTTCCTTACTCCTTACTCCACACGCCTCTGTTTTCCTAGCAGTACGTAGGCTAGGAACCCGCTTGTTAGTCGATCGGCAGGTCATAATCTTTCCGGGGGGTAATAATCCCTTCAAAAAAATAGGTCACTCAATCAACGACTGTTTGTATGACACTGCTGTGTACAATTGGCTGTCGCTTCTCGCATGAAAAATACAGTCAATTCACTGTATAGTATATTCTGTGAAGCGCTTTGAGACTACCGTATGATGTGCTATATCAAACACAAGGATTATTATTGTGGATAAGCTGCCGCATTTTGCCCACAAAAACCTACAGTCACCACCCTTTAACGATAAACCTGGTGAAACACTTTGCGACATCGCCCTGCCATTAAAGACGTTGTATCAAAAGCAAACATAAATAACTAACTGCCTTCTGAATAATACTATGCATCCGGCCTTGGCAGCTACTTGTGTAATGAACTTGCGCCTCATTATCTGTCTGAATGGAGCCAGTCTTCCAATCCTAATCAATTCCTCTTTGAACAATCTTGACACTTTGCCATCTGGACAAGATTAGTTAACTGTAGCGATTTGTAAGATTACCCAAGCCAATAAAGGAAATAGCTCCTGCGTATATACTTCCTTGCTGAATATTTACCCCCCACCCCCATTCTACGTCAGGATTCCCTGCTCCCAGTGATTGATCTTTCCTTTCAGGTCCTACCAATGAGCCAGGCCGGGCTGTGCTATCATCAGCAGTGCCCTGGATTACTGTGGACTCACCTGGCTCAGGAACTGGACCAGAGACCGTCACAGAGGGCTTGTTCGATTCAGACATTCCTTTGCTAAACATCACCTGTTGCCCTGAGTTGATGATGAGACCTCCTTTTTTAAGGGTTCAGCCTCTTCACCCAGCCCCCATCCACCCGTTTCTCTCCCCTCCCATCCGAATACTCTGACCTTATTTCAGGCTCTCCTTTCTAGGTGGGAATAATTGGGACCTCAGTCACGGATTTCCAGATAAACGTCGGTGATGTCTTCTTCTTCCCCATTGGGACCCAGCATTACATCCAGAGCTCGTGTACCGAGGATCTCCTGCTGATTCTCGGCTTCACCACTGGAGACCAGGTGAGGACTCCACACTCCTGGTGAGACCAGAGGATGTGGCGGAGGGCTGAGGTTGGGTGGAGGTCGCAAAGGGTGTGGTGGAGAGGAGGGCGGAGGGTGGAGAAGGCTTGAGGACGCAGAGGATGGAGGTAGTGAAGGATTAACACATGGCTCTGTTTACCTAGCAGTAAGTAGGAATACGGTTTTTAGTCACTTTCCTCGGGTAATAATCCCCCTCCAAAAAACGAAAACAATTGGTCACTCCCTCCATGACTGCTGTGTGCAATTGGCTGCCTCGTTTCGCCCATAAAATACACAGTCACTCCACTTTACAGTATGAGTGAGGCACTTTGAGGCGTCTCAACGATTAAATGCAAGGATTATTATTACTGTATTATTATTAACGAGCACAGCTTTCAAAAGGCAATTTCAGGAGAAGGAATCAAGAAGTATTTCTTTATCAGGAGAGTAACTAAAGGGTCACCAGGAAGGATAGGTTGAGGGACAAGTGGTTGAAGGAAGAGTGGTTGAGAGAACAGTGATGGATGAGCTCAAAATGGGTCTTCTTCTCCCGAAGAGTCTTTTTCACCCAAAGCTCTCTTGTCTCTCTTGTAGCTGGAGACCTTGGACATGGATGATTATTTCAATGCGGCAGCTGATCACATCCTAGCCCAGGCCTTCCACAAGCCCCAGAACGAATTCCAGAAGATCCCAGTCTTCAAGGATGACCAGGCTGTGAATATTCCTTGAACCCGGAATAGCTCAGCAACCGCTCATTGTTCAATGGAAAGTGTGAATGAACATGTAAAGTGTGAACGTCTCTGGCTGGGGTGTGGCCGGGGGGAGGTGGGTAAAGGAAAAAACACTAGTTCAATGGCTTAGCGGATAAACACAACCCATGATGCGTTACTGAGCAGGACACACATAAACCATCGGGGGTTTGATCCATTAAATGGATACCCACTCCAGCTCACTGAGCCAGCATGGAACCTCAGTGTCCTGGTTGACTCTCAACTGTCCTTTAAACCCCACATCCCTGCCATGACCCGTTCCGCCTTCCCCCACAACGTTGCCGGCCTCTGCCACTGCCTCTCCCCTCGGGCCACCACCCTGATGAATACTTTTATTCAGATTCCATTACTCTAGTTCTCTGCTTGCTAACTCTTCCCTCCACCAGCTGAAGATCATTCATGGAGTCCTGTAGCTCAGTGGTTAGAGCACTCGCTTTGCAAGTGAGAGACCTGAGTTCCAGGCAGAGGGCGAAACCTTGGGCAAGTTTCCTTACTCCACACAGAGCCTAATAATAATCCCTCCAAAAACCAAAAAAAAACAATAATAAAATTGGTCATTTTCAATCTACGACTGTTTGTGGGACATTGCTGTGCGCAATTGGCTGCCGCGTTCGCCCACAAATATACAGTCAATTCACTTTACAGTGTGTTCTGTGAAGCGCTTTGGGACGTCCTCCTGACGTGAAAAGCGCTATATCAAATGCAAGGATTATTATATTATTATTATTATTCAGAACTCTACACCTCCCACACCAGGCTACGTGAACCCATCGGCCCCATCATTGCCCGGCTTCACTGGATTCCCATCCCCCAGAGAATCGAGTTCAAATCCTCACTTCTAAAGCCCTCTCACTCTGCACGGGCCTGCTTCATGAGACCTGTTCTACCCGCCCTACTATTGTGGGTCAGATTTTCAACTTCTCTGCCCTGCTCTCTGGAACTCCATTCTGGAATCCGTTCGCCTCACTCCTCCCTTTGCCTCCTTCAAGATCTGTCTCAAGATCTTCCTCTTTGACTGCACCTTTGAATATCTTCTCAAATCCTTGCCAGCCTGAATCTAACCACTTGTTTACAATCCCTTGACTGTCCAGCGCCTTGGGACGTCCTCCTTATGCGAAAGACAATATGATATTGTTAAATGAAGAAAAACGTTAAGCACCTATCGTGTCTACAACAGCAACAAAGTGCATTCATATCGGGAGGACGTCCCGAGGCACTGAATGGGTTTCCGATTTACTGACATTTTTTGATAATAAAAACACAAACTCTCACTTTGTTGAATTCATCTGTGTTTCGAAATGAGATCAGAGCGACATCAGATGACATACTAGAGATCTCAGATGATTTTATTATTAGTTTGTTATTTTTAATCTTTGTTGTTGTTAAGTTCTGAAGCTCACTTTGCAAGTGAGAGACCTGGTTTCTATTCTCAGCAGGGCAAAATGTTTTCTTACTCCACACGCCTGTCTACCTAGCAGTAAGTAGGAACCCGTTTTTTAGTCGATTGGCGGATTGTTTTTCTGGGGCTAATAATCTTAAAAACGCAATATTTGGTCACTCAATCCACGAGTGTTTGTGGGACACTGCTGTGAGCAATTAGCTGCCGCGTTTCGCCCACAAAATATACAGTCAATTCACCAGATGAAAAGGTCTATATCAAATGCAAGGGTTATTATTATTTAAGAGACATGCCCAGGAACTCACACAATCGGATATTTACTATTTTTTAATGGATCGCCACAAGCAGCACCAGGGGAGATAGCTCCATTCTTGGGCAGATAGTGTGAAACGGGGTTCGGAGACAAGATGGGAAACATTATGACACAATCTGCAATTGGCAATCAATAATCTGATAAACTGGTTCTTCCGGTTCATAACTTCCCCTTTCCCCTCCGATTGTCAGCCTGACTCAGTCGGATGCTCTCACCTCTGAGTCAGAAGATTGTGGTTCAAGCCCCTTGCGGGACTGGAAACCATGAAGTCCACAGTGACACCACAATACAACAAGAGTTGGGGGAGCGCTCCATTGTTGGAGGTGCTGTCCTTTGGGTGAGACGTTAAACTGAGGTCCCATCTGCCTGTTCAGGTGGCTGTTAAAGATCCCCATGGCGCTATTTGAAAAGAGTTTCTCTCTCCTGGCCGACAAATAAAATTGGTCTCTTCTCACAGAGTGAGAGCTGCTCACACTTGTCGGAGGGCCCAGCTGAACACACAAGCCACCTTAACGTGTGGGTGTTAAGGTTTCTAATGATCAGCACAAGCTCAGAACCACAAGCGGTGTGTAACTTCTCTAACTCACAGCTCGGAATTCCATCAGTATTATTTTTTTTTGGGGGGGGAAAGGAGAGGAAAATCGAAAGCTCCGAATTCAGAATTGGTCATTTTTTCTTTTATTATAAATTTGATACAAAACGATATGATATGTTAATAAAACAGCACTTCCTCTTTCTCGCTCTGTGCTCTCATTCGCTGCTACCTCTCTCCTCGGCTCCTGCTCCATCCACCAGCTTTGTCAGATGCTTCAGGTGCTGGAACGCCCTGTGGGGAGGACAGAAGGTCAGCTCCCAGCGAAACAGGAGGGTCTTGAGGGGTGCCTTTAAGGAAGCAAGGGAGGGAGCGAGGCGAAGGTAAAGTGTGTTGAAATTCCAGATGGTGGGGGCAGAGAGGCTGAAGGCCCGACCGCCGATGGTGGGGCAGGCTGGAGCTGCTGAGCGGAGAGAGCGGGCAGGTTGATAAGGGGTTAGCGGGTCGGAGAAGTACGAGGGAGCAAGGCCATCGAGGACCTTGAAGGTGAGGATGAGAATTTTGAACTTGATCCTCTGAGGGATCGGGAGCCAGTGGAGCGGAGAAAGATGGGTGTGATGGGGTCACAAGAGTCTGGTGCGGGAGAGGACACGAACTGCAGAGTTCTGGATGATCTGCAGCCTGTGGAGGGAAGAGTTGTGAAGGCCGACAAGCAGGGAATTGCATAGTTGAGCCTGGATGTAATGAAGGCGTGTATGAAGGTTTCAGCGCCCTAAGGCATGAGGCCATGGTGGAGTCGGGCCATGTTGCAGAGATGGTGTAGGCAGAGTGGGTCATTGCATGGGGGCAAAACATACCTAGGTTTCTGACTGGCTCAGTGAGGTAGAGTTTGCATCCGTGGATGCTGATGCGGGCAGTGCTAAGGTGCGGAAGCGCTGGCGCGAGCCGATCAGGAGAACCTCGGTAGAGAGTTGGCTCTCATCCAGGACTTGATGTCCGACAGATATTCTGATAATGAGACGGAGAGTGTGAGGGTGAGGTAGTGGTTGTGAGCTGGTTACCTTTGCAGTGATTTGTTGCCTGGGGCAGTCTCAAAGTCCGAGCTCTGTTCCACACCTCCAACTTCTAACGGCAACTGAAAAAAAAGGGGAATTTTTTTAACAAATCGGTAAAAACACTAATGTCCAATTTGGGGTATTTTTCAAGGATAGAGGGATTAGGGGATATGGGATAGGGCGGGTAAATAGAATTAGGTTAGAAGATCAGCCATGATCTTATTAAATGGCGGGGCACAGGCTCGAGGGGACGAACAGCCTACTCGTGCCCCTACGTCTTAGGGTCTTATGGTCTTAACAAGATTCCTTCATAAAGAATCTGAGTCACACAAATAATGACACAAGGGCCTGGAAGCAGTGCAGAAGAGAGCAAAAAGGATGGTCCCCAGTGAAGTCCCTGTAGCATAGTGGTTACAGCACTCGCCTTACAAGCAAGAGGACCCTGGTAGGGCGAAACCTCAGGCAAGTTTCATTACTCCACACGCCTCTGTATTTCCAGCAATAAGTAGGAACCCAGATGTTAGTGGATTGGCGAATCGCTTTCTTGGGAGTATTAATCCGTCAAAAAAAAATGTGATCGCTCAATCCACGGGTGTTTGTGTTACGCTGCTGTGTGACTTGCTACCGCGTTTCGCCCACAAAATATACACTTTGCAGTATATTCTGTGAAGCCCTTTGAGATGTCACGAAGACTTGAAAAGCACTGTATCAAATGAAAGGATTATGATTATTATAATATCAAATGCAAGGATTATTATGAAACAAAAACAGACGTCGCTGGAAACACTCAGCAGGTCAGGCAGCATCTATAGAGAAAGGAAAGTGAGTCAACATTTTGGGTCCAAAACCCTTTGTCAGAACCCGTGGACCCGAAACGTCGACTCACTTTCCTTTCTCCGTAGATGTTCGCAGTGACATCTGTTTTTGTTTCAGATTTCCAGCAACTGCAGTATTTTGCATAAGGATTAGTATTATTATGTCACAGGAACGAGCTACGAGCGACGACAACAAATTTCATTTATACAGATAGCGCCTTTCACTTCAGGAGTTCGTCCCAACTCCCAATAATTAACTTGGGCTCTTTAGTTTTGGGCGGAGAGGAGTTTAGAGGGCACTTGAGAGGTTTATAATATGCTTAAGTGGGATTCAGAAATTAAATGTAGAACAATCCTTTCACATGCACTGAGGCAGTGGGACAAGAGGGCACAGGGTCAGGGTGTGCAAGGGGCAATTTCAGGCCAGCAACCAGGAAGTATTTCTTTGCACATAGATGTAACCAATGATTGGAACTGCCACCAGGAAGGGAAGGGAGGTTGAAGCCAAGACACTGGGACTTATTGATAAAACACCTCAATGCAGTGATGGGAGGACAGTTGGATGTTCTGGAAAGATGAGGTCAAATGGGTGAGATGGAGTGGACCTACATTTCACAGTCACAGTACAGCAAAGAGAGTTCAGTGAAGCACTTCGACGTGTTATAGGTGTTGTCTCAAATGCAAAGACTTTTTCAATGTTCAACCCCATCGAGCCAGCGTTGAGTGGCGATGATTGTAACACCGACAGTGCCATCTGGTGGAGCCGAAAACAATCCTCACACACACACCCTTCCGCACCTCAGAGAGATGGCTTTGCTGTCCCCGGGTTGTTAAACTAAGTGACGTTACATTAAATTCTTTACAAGGGAATTATATAGAAAAAGAGCAAGAGTACCACCTGCTCCCTCAACCCCATCCCTACTCCTCTCCTTACCTCCCAGTTCCACTCCTTGCCCCTCCACTCACAGACGTCATAAACCTCCCCGTCCACTGGCACCGTTCCCACCCCTTTAAAAATGCCGTCATCATTCCTATCCCAAAAAACCCCATTCCTGTTCTCAAACTACCACCCCATCTCCAACCTCCCTTTCTTCTCCAAGGTTCTGGAATGAGTCGTTGCTTCCCAGCTTCGCTGCTTCCTCTCCCACCACTCCCTTCACGATCCCCTCCAATCGTGTTTCCGTGCCGCCCACAGCACTGAAACAGCCCTGGTCAATGTGATAAATGACATTCTGTCCATCTGCAACCAGGGCTCCCTCTGCCTCCTCGTCCTCCTTGACCTCTCTGCTGCCTTTTGACACTTCGACAGGCCAGAACCTTGGCATCTTGGTTCACCCTCAACTATCCTTTCTAGCCCACATCCGTGCCATGACCCGATCTGCCTTCCCCCACCAATATCACCCGATTCCGCCACTGTCTCACACCGCAGGCCGTCGAGACCCTGATACTCACATTAATAACATCGAGGCTCGCCTATGCAAACTCATTGCTTGTCGGCCTCCCCAACTCCTCCTTCCATAGGCTGCAGATCATCCGGAACTCTGCAGCCCGGGTCCTCTCCTGCACCAGGCTCCCTATCACCGCCATCCTCACCCGACTCCACTGACTTCCGATCATACAGAGGATACAATTCAAGATCCTGGTCCTCACCTTCAAAGCCCTCTATGGTCTTGCTCCCCACCTACCTCTGTGACCTCCTAAACTCCTACCATCCTGTTCGCTCCCTCCACTCAGCGGGCTCCAGCCTAGTTTGACTGGTTGGAAGAAAACTCCCAGAATAGACTGAATGGGACGGTTCCTGAGACTCGGGCAAGGTGGAATTTCCAGCCTTTGGAGTCTGTGACGGGCTAAGTCAGGGCGGAGGCGCGGGAAGCCTGACAGTATTAGATACATCCAGTCAGAGTGAGTGGGGGTGCCAATGAGTGTAGTGCGTCCCCTGATATAAAGCGATGGTTTTGAGGGGGAAGGAGGCATAAAAATTCAGGCAGGTTTGAGCGATAAAGGGACCACCGGTCAGCACTTCCATGTCGCTGATGTTCCATATATTGAAACAACAACAACAAATTACATTTGTATAGGGCCTTTCACGTCGGAAGGACGTCCCAAGGCAGGCAAAGCAGTGAGGTCCCGAGCCGGGAGTCTGCGGGGAAGTGTTCTGGAAGCAAGAGGATCGATTCCTGGGCAGGGCGAAACCTTAGGCAAGCTTCCATACGTCCGTCTACCTAGCAGTAAGAAGGAAACAGGGTGCTGGTTGATTGGCGGGTCACTTTTCCAGGGGTAATAATCTTTCCAAACAAAAACCCAATAATAATAATATTTTGGTCACTCCATCTACAACCATTTGTGGGACGCTGCTGTGCGCAATTGGCTGTCACGTATCACCCACAAAATATACAGTCAATTCACTTTACAGCATATTCTGTGAAGCGCTTTGAGACGTCGAGAAGACATGTTAAGGCGCTGTATCAAAAGCAAGGATTGTTACTTTTATTATTATTACATTTATATAGCGTATTTTATGTCAGAAGACATCCCAAGCCATGCGGTCACAAGCTGGGAATTTACGGGGAAGTGGGATTGTCCTGGAATCCCGTTGAGTGCGGGTTCCGTCCGTGTATCCTGACTCACCCGTCGGTCTTGCTCCTGCTCCCCCACCGGCTCCTCAGCGAAGCTCTGCTGAACAGTCTGTAAACTGAAGACCATCTGCTTCAGAGCCTCAATGGGCCCCGGGTGATTCCCCCCACATAGCCGCGAGCCACGGCCTCTGTCCTCCTAAACAAACAAACACAGCAGCTTAGAGCCGGCTCTGACATAATGTACCAAATGTAAGAACTATTATTATTATTAAGAATATTATTATAATAGCCCCTGCCCTCACTAACCTGACTGTTAAAGCTGTCACAGCTCTGGATGAACCTGTCAATCAGAGCAGACTTGCAGTCTTCAGCGTTGCCCACTGGTACTGGTGACTTGCTGGGGAAAGATAACAATAACATAATCCTTGCATTTGACAGGGTGAGGGGACAGGGGGTTACACAGCAACACAGTGATCACTGATCACTGATCACCCAAGGAACCAGGCACCAAAACAATATCCTTTACCCCGCTTTACAGGGCTTGTAACATGGAACTGAGCTCACAGTCCAGGAATATACGGATTGATACTCAATGATGAGGTTTGGTTTGGTCAGCCGGGTGTCTCACACACACGGAAACCCATCACCCTGCTGATGAGTATCTAGACTGAGAATTCCACATATTCACGTCACCTACACATGGAAATTTCTCCATACTTGGAACCGAATGCCCACACTCTCTCACCTAACTCAACAGAGTATTAGGCGCAGATTGCCAAGAGCCAAGGCTTGGGTACCCCAGAGTCTGTGTTGGGGTAACTGATGGAGACTGACCAGTAAAAACCACATAGTCTGGCAATGTTTTCATGGGACACGTTTTCACAGGATATATTTTCATATGTTTTCATGGGATGCGCTTTTAGGGGACATTTCGCTCACAAAATACACAGTCAATCTACTTTACAATGTAAGTTGTCTGTCGGATTGCTTTCGAGAGGTAATAATCTCTCTAAAAAATAAATAAACATAATTGGTCACTCAATCCACGACTGTTTGTGGGACGCTGCTGTGCATAATTGACATCCGTGTTTTGCCTACAAAATACACATTCACTTCACTTTACAATATATTCTGTGAAGCGCTTTGAGAAGTCTCAACGGCGTGATGAGGCACTGTATCAAATGGGAGGATTATTATTATATTGTTATAAATCTGTATTGTTATAAATGTTAGGCTATCTTTACACCCTTAAGTGGAGTAGAACAACATGTTTTTACAGGATGTGTTTTACGGGAATTGTATTTACAGGATGTTTGCTTTCACCCCGCATGAAACTCACAAGGTGACGGGCGGGTTGTCCCATGACCGGTTGGCCTCCAGCACTTCCTCTGTCCGGGGGCTCCCATCGTTCCCCTCTGGGACCGTCGGTCCTTGCGACAAAGCCTCAAATGCCCGCTCAGCCTTCTGTATCAGGTCATCAATCTGCTCCTCTGTGGCAGAGAGGAAGAAACATTGGATGGAACACTGCAAAACACCTCATTCCTTTTTTTCCACCCCAAAAAACCCAATTAATCCCAGAGTCCAGTACGTTTTCAAAATGACTCATATTCCTCAACATAAGACAGCGAATGGACTTAAGAATGTGAGAAATTTAGTCCCGCGGAAAGTGACTCAGAAACTGTAGAGCTCTCACCTCAAAAGCGAGAGGAAATTGGTTTGATTCCCGGGCAGGGTGAAAGCTGAGGCAAATTTCCTCACTCCACAAGTCTGTTTGCAGTAAGTAGTTGTTAGTCTAAGCATTAAGCTACAGGACTCAACGAGCTTGTGTGGATGAAAGGGCCATTTCTCCTTCTACCCTTCCTCAACCATTGACCACCCCCCACCCCTTCCTCCCCATGCCTGCAGGTCAGATGTTCTGTGCACTTTACCGTACCTCTAAACAGCTCAGCGCGGCACCTCCCTGGTACCTCCTCCGTGCCCGAGTGGGCGAAGCGTGCGAGGGGAAACGGCATCCTCTCCCCGGCGTCTCTCTCCCGGCTTCCCGGTCCGAAGCGGCCGGCAAAGTTCCCATTCCCCAGCTTGCAGTGAGCTGTGCCAGAGCGCTGGACCTGCCAGGGGTCAGATTCCAGGTCGCATTCCCTGAGCCAGCTCGGATATGTCAGCTCCGGAACGCTAGTGATCCCGGAGAAATCCAGATCGGGATCTGGGCTAGTGAGCCACCTGGGATAGTCAGGGCGGGCGGGGGCTGCTGGTCGCTGCTCTCCCAGACTGTCGGCAAGCCGGGGGGCACGAGGGGTGTTTTGCAGGATTGCTCCGAGGCCTGCTGCGTCCCAGGGGAATTTCTCAGCTTGGAAGGTGCGGGCACTGCCTCTGTGGTAGCGGGGTGCCTGGGCTCCATGGGAGTGGGGGGTCCGGCAGTGCCCACTCCGCGCCCGGCACTGGAGCGCGACACGGTGGGTGAGGGGCAGCGAGCCGTCCGAGGGCAGCCCCACCAGGTCCTCGGTGGTCAGGCTGACCAGGTCAGGGTCGCTGGCAATCCTTCTGCTCAGGGGCCAGATGGCAAACCTGTCCTCACCCCAAACTGCTGCCGAGAAGAGAAGGAGGGGGGACTCATTAGCCAAATGTTATCTGTGCCAGATAGCTGGACACCGGTGAGAGGCACTCCTACACGCATTCATCACATCCAGGCTTGACTATGAAAATTCCCTGCTTGTCGGCCTCCCCAACTCCTCCCTCCACAGGCTGCAGATCATCCAGAACTCTGCAGCCCGTGTCCTTTCACGCACCAGGCTCCATTACCCTATCACCCCCATCCCCCATTAGAAACCTATAAGATCATCAAAGGGCACGATAGAGTAGATAGTGGGAGATTGTTTCCCCAGTTGGAGAAACTGAAACCAGGGGTCACAACTTTAAAATCAGAGGCCAGCCCTTTTCGCATTGAGTTGAGGAAGAACTTCTTCACTCAAAGGATGGTGAACGTATGGAACTCACTACCCCAAAGGGCTGTTGACGCTCAGTCCTTGAACATATTCAAGACTGAGATAGATAGATTTCTTATTGCAAAAGGGATTAAGGGATATGGGGATAAGGCAGCGTCAGGTTATTAGCTGGAGTTAGATTAGAAGATCAGCCATGATTGAATGGCGGGGCAGGCTCGAAGGGCCGAATGGCCTACTCCTGCTCCTACATGTTATGTTATCCTCACCCGACTATACTGGCTTCCCATCACACAGAGGATACAGTTCAAGATCCTATTTCTACCTTCAAATCCCTCCACGGCCTTTCTGTCCCCTACCTCTGCGACCTCCTAACCTCCTACCGACCTGTCCGCTCCCTCTGCTCAGTGGAATCCAGCCTGCTTCATGTCACCCGCCTTGCCTGCCCCGCCATTGATGGGCGGGTCTTCGGTCTCTCTGCCCACCTTCTGGAACACCATCCTACAGTGCCTCCGCCTCGCCCCCTCCCTTGCCTCCTTTAAGACCTGCCTCAAGATGCTCCTCTTCGACCGTGCCTTTGTTCACCTCCTACCTCTACCCTCCCAGCACTCCACCCTTCTTGATCCCAAACTTCAGTTCTGACTGTCCAGCGCCTTGGGACTTCCTCCTGATTTGAAAGGCACTCGACATATATAATTTACTTTTGTTGTTTTTGAATCACAGGACACAACATAGGAATAGGAGTAGGCCATTCAGCCCATTGAGCCTGTTATGCCATCGTATAATATCATGGCTGATCTGTACCTCACTCCAATTACCCCATTTCCTTGATATCCTGACTTAACAAATATCTATCCACCTCAGCGTTGAAAATGTGAATGGATCTCAGCATCCACAACCTTCTGGGGGAGAGAGTTCCAGATTTTCATTATCCCTTGGGTGAAAAATGAGGGCGGCGGCGGGGGTGGGCGGAGAGGAAGCGTGAAGGGCCGGGGTGGGTGGGTGGGGGGAGAGCTCAACAACGAAAGCCAAGAGACTCACACTGCTGGTCATCATCAGCTGGTAGCGAACGCTGCTCAGGAAGGCTCTCCAGGTAAAGCTTTTTGCTGTCCGCCACCGAGCCGGACCCCAGGTTCCGATCAAAGTTCTCAATGTACGCATCCAGCGCCTTCGAGGCCGACTGGTACGAGTGGCCACCGTACAGGATGGAGCCCTGAGACTTCGCCATCACCTCCCAAATCTGAGACTCATGGTGAAATCTTGCCGTTAAAAAAAAGACAAGAAACAGAAATAATGCTTCCATTTGATATCACGTCTTAACAGCTCTTCGAGACGTCTCAAAACACTTCACAGAATATATTGTAAATACAGTATACACAAAATAACACAAAACACAGAGTGGATTGACTGTGTATTTTGTTGGTGAAACGCAGCAGCCAACTGCGCACAGCAGTGTCCCACAAACTGTCGTGGATTCAGTGACCAATATTTTTTTGGGGGCAGGAATTATTACCCCCAGAACGCGAGGTATTTGTCGAGGTATGTTGCTACTTACTGCGAGGCAATCAGAGGCAAGTGGAGTAAGGAAACTCGAAGGTATCCCAGGAATCAAACCCGGTTCCTCTCGCTTGTGAGGCAAGTGCACTAAGCACAAAGCTACGGGGCATTTGGTCCAAGGGCATCCTTCAGTCAATAGACATCAGGATAAATACACCCACTGCCTTTGGTAAATTTGCCCTTCAGCGTATGGCTGAAGGAATTTCCACCCGATTGTACTTAAAGTGTGTCCGTCTGCCTCAGGTGACAGCATTCTCTACTCTCGAGGCAGAACGGTGTGGGTTCGAGCCTCGTATCAGGAATTGGAGCTCACAGTCCAGGATGAAACAAAGCAGTACTGGAGGCGAACTGTATTATCAGAGATGCCGTCCTCTTCACTATCTCTGGGTCTCAGTCTCTCTCTCTCACTCTCTGGGTCTCAGTCGCGCTCTCACTCTCTGGGTCTCAGTCGCGCTCTCACTCTCAGGGTCTCAGTCTCTCTCTCTCACTCTCTGGGTCTCAGTCTCTCTCTCTCTCTCACTCTCTGGGTCTCAGTCGTGCTCTCACTCTCTGGGTCTCAGTCGCGCTCTCACTCTCAGGGTCTCAGTCTCTCTCTCTCACTCTCTGGGTCTCAGTCTCTCTCACACTCTCAGGGTCTCAGTCTCTCTCTCTCACTCTCTGGGTCTCAGTCTCTCTCTCTCACTCTCTGGTCTCAGTCTCTCTCTCAGCTCTCAGGGTCTCAGTCTCTCTCTCTCACTCTCTGGGTCTCAGTCTCTCTCTCTCACTCTCTGGGTCTCAGTCTCTCTCTCACACTCTCAGGGTCTCAGTCTCTCTCTCTCACTCTCTGGGTCTCAGTCTCTCTCTCTCACTCTCTGGGTCTCAGTCTCTCTTTCTCACTCTCTGGGTCTCAGTCTCTCTCTCTCACTCTCTGGATCTCAGTCTCTCTCTCTCACTCTCTGGGTCTCAGTCTCTCTCTCTCTCACTCTCAGGGTCTCAGTCTCTCTCTCACACTCTCAGGGTCTCAGTCTCTCTCTCTCACTCTCTGGATCTCAGTCTCTCTCTCTCACTCTCAGGGTCTCAGTCTCTCTCTCTCTCACTCTCAGGGTCTCAGTCTCTCTCTCACTCTCAGGGTCTCACTCTCAGAGTCTCATTGAATCTCATTCACTTTCTGACACAAACTCACTTCCGCCTCTGGAGCAGTTGTAACATTCAGACCGCACTGCGCACGCGCCGTCTCTTCATTGGCAACACTGCAGTTGTCGCGGCCGATCAGCGGCTTTCCCTGAGTGACCCCAACCCCCAACTCACCCCAACCCTCACCCCACACCACCTGCCCCCAACCCCAAACCCCACCTCACCCCAACCCCCACCTCTCCCACCCAACCCCACCCCACCTCTCCCCAACCCCAACCCCACCCCCACCCCCCCAACCCCCACCCCCCCCCACCTCTCCCCAACCCCAACCCCACCCCCACCTCTCCCCAACCCCCACCCCACCCCCACCTCTCCCCAACCCCACCCCACCCCCACCTCTCCCCAACCCCACCCCACCCCCACCTCTCCCCAACCCCCACCCCACCCCCACCTCTCCCCAACCCCAACCCCACCCCCACCTCTCCCCAACCCCAACCCCACCCCAACTCACCCAACCCCACCCCCACCCCTACCTCTCCCTAACCCCAACCCCCACCTCTCCCTAACCCCAACCCCCACCTGCCCCAACCCCAACCCCCAACTCACCCCAACCCCAACCCCACCTCTCCCCAACCCCACCCCCACCTCTCCCTAACCCCCACCCCACCTCTCCCTAACCCCCACCCCACCTGCCCCCAACCCCACCCCCACCTCTCCCTAACCCCACCCCCACCCCCACCTCTCCCCAACCCCAACCCCACCTCTCCCCAACCCCAACCCCACCCCCACCTCTCCCCAACCCCAACCCCACCCCCACCTCTCCCCAACCCCAACCCCACCCCCACCTCTCCCCAACCGCAACCCCCACCTCTCCCCAACCCCACCTGCCCCCCAACCCCAACCCCCACCTGCTCCCCAACCCAAACCCCCAACTGCTCCCCAACCCCCACCTCTCCCCAACCTCTCCCCAACCCCAAACCCCACCTGCTCCCCAACCCAAACCCCCAACTGCTCCCCAACCCCCACCTCTCCCCCACCTCTCCCCAACCGCAACCCCCACCTCTCCCCAACCCAAACCCCCACCTCTCCCCAACCGCAACCCCCACCTCTCCCCAACCCCAACCCCCACCTCTCCCCAACCCCCCACCTCTCCCCAACCCCAACCCCCCACCTCTCCCCAACCCCAACCCCCCACCTCTCCCCAACCCAATCCCCCACCTCTCCCCAACCCAAACCCCACCTCTACCCAACCGCAACCCCCACCTCTCCCCAACCCCAACCCCCCACCTCTCCCCAACCCCCACCTCTCCCCAACCTCTCCCCAACCGCAACCCCCACCCGCTCCCCAACCCCACCTGCTCCCCAACCCCACCCGCTCCCCAACCCCACCTGCTCACCAACCCCAACCCCACCTGCTCCCCAACCCCAAACTAGCTGCTCCCCAACCTCACCTGCTCCCCATCCCCCAACCTCACCTGCTCCCCCCCCACTGGCTCCCCAACCTCACCTGCTCCCCAACCTCACCCCCCCCCCACCCCACCCTTGATACACAGCCCCAATCCAGCTTCGTGTCAACCTAATCTGATCCCATCCCAATCCAAGCCCCAACCCTATACTGACCCCATTTTAACCCTAGCTCCATTCTGATCCCAGCCCCACCTCTACCCTGATACCAACCCCAGTCTCTTGGACACATGCAGTCACACATGTTCCAGCACTGGGTCACACACAAACTCACAAGGTGGGGTCCGCACATTGATATAAGCTCAACAAAGTACTGGACAGTTTTCTGGCCAGAGTAGCTGATGATGGAAGAAAAAGGCGGAGTGCTGTTTGGTTTTATTGTAATCAGTCCTTATATTTTGCTGTATACATATCCACTTCCTTCTCTGGTGCCGGGCCTGACACCACGGAGGCCATTCAAGGAGTCTTCTCCTCCAAGAGGCACCCTCCCCACCATCCAATTCAATGTCATCTGGGCTCAATTGGTAGTTCTCGCCGAGTCAGAAGATTGTTGGCTCAAGAACTCTGTGACACAACCCTGAGAGAAGTCCTGTAGCTCAGTGGTTGAGCACTCGCTTTGCAAGTGAGAGACCTGAGTTCAATCCCAGGCAGAGGGCGAAACCTTGGGCAAGTTTCCTTACTCCACACAGAGCCTAATAATAATCCCTCCAAAACCAAAACAATAATAAATTGGTCATTTTCAATCCACGACTGTTTGTGGGGCATTGCTGTGCGCAATTGGCTGCCGCGTTCGCCCACAAATATACAGTCAATTCACTTTACAGTGTGTTCTGTGAAGCGCTTTGGGACGTCCTCCCGACGTGAAAAGCGCTATATCAAATGCAAGGATTATTATTATTATTATAGAAGGGAGCTATATAAATGCAAGTTGTTGTTGTTCAACCCACACATCAGGACTTTGAACTTATATTTAAATAACAATAATTCACATTATTTACTTTGATCTTACAGTCTTGTACAGTCCTGGAGAGTTTTACAGTCTTCTGGGAGACATTAAACCGAAGTCCTCATCTGTCTGTTGGAAGTTAAAGATCCCAAAGCACTATAAGAAGAGTTTCTCCCAGTGTCGTGGCCAACAAATCCCGAGATAAAGTAGGTCATCACTTTATGTTGTTTGTGTATTGTGCGAAAATTGCCTGTTGCATTTATCACATGCAGTCACCACACTTCACAGTAGAATCCTGTGAATAATTGACGATATGAATAAGGCATTATATTGCGCACAGCAATGTACCACAAACAGTCTCAATTCACCACAATTGGCTGTTGTGTTTCGCCCACAAAATATACAGTCAATTCACTTTACAGTATAGCCTGTGAATCGCTTTGAGACGTCTCAACGACTTGAGGCACTATATCAAAAGCAAGGGTTATTATTATATCCAAAGCAGGGAATGTTTTTATTATTATTGCTCTACAGTAAATCATGTGAAGTGCTTTGAGACATCGTCCTGACGTGCGACACTGCATCAAGTCCCAGTTTTATTATTATTAGTTTTTACAGCCTCCGACTCCGTTCCCGGTGCTCGCTGCTCTCGGTGAGCCTCCTCGCGCGAGGGGTGCGGTGTCACCGAATGCAAGTTGTCGTTGTCGCTGATCCGACCGCACAGAAGCCACATCGGTGTCGTCGGTGGTGACGACGGTGGTGGGAACCTTTCCCGGGAATCGGCCCCAGTGCTGATGGTTGTCCACCTCTCGGAGCAGACAAAGGCTCTACGCTGCGCCGTCTCCGGGAGCCGATGAGCTGCTTTCCCATGTGGGGAGCGTAGACCTTCAGCCACCGGCAGAGACGCCCCCCGGCCACGGGGATCACAGCCGCTCCCCCTCCCCTCCCCTCCCTCGGCGCAGCCCAGTCACACACACACACACACACACCCCCCTACAGCCAGGCGCCGGCAACAGAGAGAGGGGCGATCGGTCTGACCAGCCATGCAGATGTGGAGGGCGGATTTCTGCAGGGATGGAGTGATGGGCCAGCGCAAGGCGAGGTTCACGGAGAACGGGCTGACGGCGCTGACTTACGCTGTCATGGCCCGCCGACACATCCTCTTCTCCACCGGGGTCATGCCGGGCCAGGTGCAGGAGAGGCTGCACGGCTGGCGGGAGGTGGTCCGGATGGTGAACGCCGAGGAGAGGACCACCCGCACTTGGGAGGAGTGCAGGAAGAAAGTGTACGACCTCAGGAAGAGCGCCAGGGTGAGTGCCTCCCGGAGCCACACGCACATCGATAGGAACAATAGAGAGCGTCGGTTCTGTCGCGCCTTTCCCCGTCGGGATGTGTCAACGCGTCTCGCAGGTAATCAGCCTGGCTCGGTCGTTTGCGTTCTCTTCTGGGGTCAGAAGGTTGTGAGCTCGAACCCCTTCCCCCCCCCCCCCATCCTTGCTCCCACCCCCCGAAAGTTGGGAGTTTTGAGCTCACAGTCCAGGCTGGTGCTCCAGCGCAGTGCTGAGGGGAGCGCGGCATTCTTGGTGGTGCTGTCCTTCGGATGAGATATTAACTGGGGTCATAATCGCTCGACCGCTTTCCAGGTGTCCTGGCCGACAATCCTCGAGGTAAATCTGGGCGTCCACTTTGCGGGAGCTTCTTGGGCATACATTGGCTGCTGCGTTTGCCTACGAAATACAGAGTTACAAACTTGATAGCAATTACCTACAAAGCACGTTGGTGAAAATTCGCCATTATCGGAGCTGTATCAGACACAAGTTCTATTATTATTGTTACCATCAAACATTATTGTTACGCCTGCTGGTTCACCAATACGACTGAATCCTGACTCAAAGCCATAGTAGGTGGGGCAGTCCCAGCTGACAGGCACTATGAAATGAAACCATTATTATATTTAAAAGAACTTGTAGTTTTATACTGCGTTATCACCTTGAAATCTGCACTAAGCTCTGTGAGCCCATGATACCCAGCCTCGCCCAGCTCCATTGGCTCCCTATCAATTTATGATCCTCAGTTGAATGGCGGATCTCTTTCCGGGAGTAATAAACACTCAAAAAAATGTTTCACAATATATTCCGTGAAGTGGTTTGAGACGTATCAATGACGTGATGAGGCGCCATATCAAATCAAGGATTATTATAATAATTGTAGCTATTTTGCACACAGCAAGGTCTCGCAAAAAGCCAAGAGGCAAATGCCTCAATTTCCTGTTGTTGTATTAAATGAAAATACAAGTATTATCAGATGCAAGAAAATTCATTTTTTTCTCAGGAGGAATGTTAGCTCGAATACTGGAAGAAACTCCCTTCTCTTTTCCTGTGCTAAAACAATGGGATTGCGAGACTGCAAGAGAGAGCGATAGCGATGGGTTTGGTTGAACAAAGCCCTTCAGTCCATTTGAACTCAACTTTCCAAAACACCCAACCTCCGCCCTCCCAATACCCTGTCGGGATATTTTCTAAATGACTCCTGAACGTTGGCCTTAACCACACTTCCTTCTTAAAAGCTTCTCCTTTCGCCCCTGCACCGTCTTGTGTTGGGTTCCTCAGGGCTCTGTCCTTGGTCCTCTCCTCTTCAATATCTATATGTTCCTGCTTGGTGAAATCATCCGCAGACACGGGATCAACTTCCACATGTATGTGGATGACACCCAACTCAACCTCTCTGCCTCCACCCTTGACTCCA